AAGCGAGCAATGTTCTAAATGGTGCTCTTGGACTTTTTTACATTAGATTAAGTGATTAAAAGTGGAAACAAATAGCTTCAGACCGATGACCGATGTTTGCATGCGCAAATCTCTATGTGCCTTTTAAATCAATAACTTAAGAATTCGTGAAAAGTAAAAAATCGTGTTACACGCATTGATCCGCCGGCAGTTAACGCCATCGATTTTGCAATAGACAACTCTACCAATAACAACAAAACATTCGGAAAACCACATATTTGTAAAAAGTTTGTTATGATTATGGGCTATTGAATTGTAAACTATCACCTTTATTTATTATCAACAATTCAGTGATCATCCAAATTATCCAACCAACAGTATTTGTTGATGTTTTCTGTGGTTAGTGGAAGTGTAAGTGGTGGCAGCGGGTTTGGTGAAGAGAAGCGCCTTGACGCTATGAATGCCGTTTGTGTATATGTGTCCACGGCGCAACTAGTATTGCAGTCCGATACAACAGAGAGTAACGGACTTGGCGAACAACGTATGCTTGATCTTAGCCGTTTGTTTGGCCAACTAAGGCAACTGCTATCGTGTGCTGTATGTGCCCGTCTGCTAAATGACCCGTACGCACCACTCAATAATGCCCGCTGTCACCACAATGTATGCCGGCTTTGCGTGCGCGGCCGAAAAGCTCTGCGTCCACTATGTATAAGCTGTAAAGATCTGCAAGATTTCAAAACGTATGCCGAAAATAAGACAATGCGTTGTTTACTGCTCTGCTACAAAAGTCTTTGTGAACATTTATTGGGTACCAACTTTTACGCTCAGCTCAGTCGGCAAAAGGCGCATCAAGCGTTAACTTGCAGCGGAGAGAACGTATTCGGTGTAGCGCCAATGCCACACATGACAACTTGCGGCGACATAATTCAGGAAGGTTCCCGCTATGAGGATGTATTGAATGCCTTCAACGCTGACTTACCTCCAGTAACGCCCGTACTAAAAATACCACAACCGCTTGTCACTGCGCCAGCAGTTGGACCAATGTTTACGAGCCAAACCATGCCAATCTCCGTTAGTGCAGTTACGCCTTTAGCACCGCTTTCCGTGCCTCCCAGGAGATTACATACCCAAACTGCACCACGCTTAGCCACGCCTCCTAACCCACCGGCAGCAATCACCAACACCTCCTCCGCATTATTGCCAACACACAACACAATTATAAAACTGGAACATTCAAACACTAATCTCACTTCTACGAACAGCAACACGCATTTCGTTATGGCATCAAAAGTGAATTCAACCGTGTCACAACAACCAAATACTCAATCACATATGGTATATGTGAAGAGTATGAAGCCGGGAGTCAGCGAATCGAGTAGTGTTCACGCGGCACAGCTTCGCGCCACACAACCGCTTGCGGGAAGCAGTAACAACAGTGTAGCGAACCTTTCTTCGGCGCCGACAATTACATACGTTGGACCAAACACGCCTGGAATTGTGGTACCTATTGTCTCCTCTTCCGCCACAACCACTGCACCCTTAACTATAGCATCAGCCAAGTTACAAACGCTTAAACGTCAATTGGCGCAAGCGCAAGCTCGTGGTGGCGGACCAATCAGTTTGGCGTCGGCGGTGAAGGCTGCTGGTTTATCGCAATTAGATGCACATGGAGCACTTACTTTCAAAGTAACCGCATCAACTGCGCCTGTAACATCAGCTACAATCTCGTCGGCTACTGTTACCACAATTACAACACCCACATCGATAACCTCCGCCTGTCCAACAACAACCACTGCCACAATAACTTCACAACAAATACAAATACGAAATCCACCTTCGATAAAAACGGTTTCCAATGGCTCGGCAATGTACTCAGTGCTGTATACCGGGGTAGGAAATAAAATAACAATTAAAAGGAAGACTGATGGTGATGAGGAAAATGGACAGAGAGTAAGCTTTATTGTAAAATTTTCAAGTTTATATAAATAAAAACTTAGGAACATATATAACATTTAAAAAATATATAAAACCTTTCAGAAAAACGTTGCGACCTCTATCTCCACTTCTTCAGTGTCTACACCAACACTTGCTTCAACGAGCAACACAGTTGGCACAATACAACAGCAAACTCCGGCCAACAAGTTGAACGCAAAACGCCGTGGGTGCCGATGCGGTAATGCCACTCCTACACCGGGTAAATTGACTTGCTGTGGTCAGCGTTGCCCCTGCTATGTGGATTCCAAGTCTTGTATTGGCTGCAAATGTCGTGGCTGCCGCAATCCTCATCGTCCTGATGGTGGCAAAGTGCGTCCGGTAATACCCGAACTGGCTTGCTATGAAATTCAAATGGCAGATGAAACCCCAAGTTTAAGCCCAAGCGATTTGCAAGTGGGTAATACGCTTACTACGCGTACTCATAGTATTTCAACGGCAACAGCAACTTCGCCCATTCAACTTTCTACGCATCAACAGACCACAGCAATTGTGTCTGAGCAACATGGCTCTACGTCCACAACATTGCCATCGTCATCGGTGGCAACGGTGGCATCGCAACTGCATTTGACATCAAGCTCTTCATCGCCGTCTTCCAAAGGTGCAACGCTGATACCATTCATTAGTTTGCATCCCATTTCTTCACAGCATACGCAACAACACCAACAACAACAGCAGCAAACAACCAACATCACAAATATTGGTAGCAACCAACAGCAAACTAATATGCTGCCACTTGAATCGGTGCTCATTCAAAATGCCGAGGGTAAATATCAAGGTAAACTATGGTCATGGCTAAACTGGTAAACTAAATAATATCTCAATGCACTTTTTCTCTAATCTTTAGTTGTGAATGTCCTAACCACGGGGCCCACACACCATCAACAAAATAATACCAGTATACAGCGCATCCATAGTATTCCCCAGCTACAAGTGGCAACGTCAGTCAGTAGTAATAGTAGTGCTACCAGCAGCAACAATAACCACACTCTATTGAGTAACTTGTCGACCGTGAATATTTTATCCAATACAACTAGCAGTACCGCGGCGACTACGCCAGTTACTGTAACAACAAAAAGCGTTTTGATTCATCAACAAAATCATGCAAATCGTTTGCAGCAGCAACAACATCAATTACAACAAAAGCACCATCAGCAACAAATGCATGCACAACGTCTGACCTCTTCCAATATCATAACAACCTCTACCAATAATACAACAACTTCAGGTGTTAGCAATTATAGTGCAACGAACACGATACCCATACAACTGCAACATCACAATCAACAGCATCACCACCAGCAGCAGCAACCACAACACCAACGCCAACTGCATCAAACCCATCATCATACACATAATCAACAATTAAAATCTAACATTATTACAATGCGTTCTACAAGTGTCAACAACAGCAACCACAACAACGCCCGTCAATCACAAAACCTCACACCTTTACTGTCATCAAATGCCTCAGGCACAACCATAACCCTATCGCCTATCCTAATGTCCTCTTCGCCTAACACATTCAAGCCCGAACTATTTTCGGATTCCTCCGAATCTGATTTTATGAACTTTACTGCGGGCGCTGTTACATCAACGTCTGTCGTTAATAATGGCGGTAGCAATAGCAATGGCAACAACAACATCAATTCCAACATGATATCTACTATCTACAACAACCATAGTGGCCTCCAAAGCACGCCAACGACAACACGAATCACATCATTACCATCACTGAGTAGTGGCAGTACAGGCAGCGCGAGTGGCAGTGCCAGTCGCATGAGTTTGGGTATGAACATGAATATGAGCGGGTCAGGATCGCACATAACGCCTGCTTTGCTGGAAGTAATTGAAGCGAGTGATTTGTAATTTGGGAGAAAAAAAGGAGATTAAAAATGCTGATTGTATGATATAAGAGTGACGATCAAAATGTGGCAGCTGTAATGGAATAAACAAATTTATCCAAGTGTGCGGGGAATCTACGCTCAGGCTGGAGATTTGCGCGCAAAATTTGCACAAAAAACATGGCGGAATGTAAAGGGTTTAGAATTACCAATTTTGGCAAATTGGAGCTCAGTATTTACATATGTAAATCTAGGTAAATTTCATATACATAGATACTAGCGACGGGTATTTGGTGTTCTTTATTTACTCGTATCTCTGACAAAAAAAAAAAAACAAAGGATGGCTGGAGTTTTAATTTTGATTTTCTGCCAAGCGAATGTAATTATCTCTGTTGATGCTGCAGGTCTGAATAAAGTAATATTGTCTATATCATCTGTAATTGTGTTGCTAAAGTAGTC